AAGCTAGAATAGACATCCAGCAATAAGGACTACTCCTATTTCAAGAGGTTACCAAAATAGATATTGTACTTTCTGATATGACTAATATTCAGAGCAAGAGAAATCACATGAGATAAAATCAACTGTACAAGTAATTTTTATTAGATTTTATTGTCCAGTTATTACCACCAAGTCCTCTGAATAGCTTATATCTACTAAAATCTTAGGGATGAATTCTTTTCTCATATCCATTAAGTCCTCAGATATCATGCCCTTTCCAGTGTGGGTAGTCAAGCTGTGTCATTCATATAGACATTAAAGCTCACTTTGTGGTATTTGTAATGACCATTCTGTTTTGACAGGTGGGTGTTACCTGCTCTCAGTGGCCATGGGAGATCAGTTAATGTTTCCGAGTTCAGAGGTTCAGGGACTGCCTCAGCCTCGTCCCAGATCCATCTTAAGGAATTTTTCCAAATATATGCTGTGATGCTTGCTGCCACACATAAGATGCCTAGGTTTCTATACAGAAGAAAGCATCTGGTCCGTTATCTGGACATTTAAGGGTACTGGTCGCAAAGTTCACATATAAACCACTTGTATGGATTAGTGAAAAAAAAAAAAAAAATCACTGTTTTATGCTCATTTAGAGAGACTTTAAAGACAAATAACAGTACTTCCCTAAATCCACTGTCAAAATGTGAAAGAATCAAACTTAGGTAAATATTAAAATTTTAGAAATTTGTTCTAGTTGCCCCTTTCCATCACTATTTCATTGAGAAGTCAAAAATTTATTCAGCTATTTCCTTTCGACCAAACTTCTAAGTAACTCTTAAAATTAATTTCCTTTACTTTAGATAAGAAGGTGAGCTATAGAAATGGAAAGACTTTATAATGAGTTATATTAGGTATATTTGTTGATTATTTGAATAAAAATCTATGAGTAACAGAACTTTCAGTATGAAATGTTTTCAATGGTATCCATCTGTTGCCTTTTTATCTCAGTATTCTTTCTCAAGCATGTCTTGCCTTTTGACATGCAGCTTTTATTCTCTAATTCTCCCAGGTCCAAAATAAAATGTGTTTATTTAAATATAGCATTGCCAAAAACCAGGAAATTGGTTTTTTTATCACTGCCTTCACCAACACTTGCATCAAAAATACCTTCAGTATTATCAGTTCTGTATTTTAATGCCTTCTGTGAAATTCTGTGTGATAGGAGCAAAATATAATATAAATATATAACATTTAATATAATATCTTTTCCTGTAAATTCAGCTAAGTTGTATCAACTGAAAAATCTTCTTAAGTAAAAGCTTATCTGTGACATAAGCTACTGTACTAAAACATTTTAGACAGAAACTAATCTATACTTACAGAAATATGCATAAAAATTACTTTATAAACCTCACAGTATCTGCAGGTAAGAGAATAAACATAAGAGACTTGCCAGCAAGTTTCTCAATAGGGAAAAATCATTGTCATTTTACCTCTCATTGCTTATTAAAGTACCTTTGCTACCATTAATTTATACTCACTTAGAAGAACAACACAATTAAAATGTGGGGAATTATTTCTATTTCTTTTCCTGCGTAAGTCATTCTTTCAAAGCCATACTTTTCTTACTTTCAAAAAATAATTTAAAAAGTTAAAGTTTAACATTTTTCTTTAAAGCCAGCATGATTTACTTTGCTACCATTTAAAATAATTACTAGTCTACTTCAACTTTACTCTCAACACTGTAAATTTTGGTTAATTATGAAAATTTTGGCAGTTAAGGTTGGAGCTTTTTTCTGAAGTAATTTTTTCTGGCTGTAGTTGTCATTCATGTTTGAAATAGTTACTGTACAACTATATACCTGCAGTTCAAAAAATGTACCTGTAGCATTAAAAATTCATGAGAAGAATTATTGATTGGTGCCATCTTTAAACCTGGGAAAAAAATAGGCCCCTTTTTCATCTTTTTGTTCATAATGAGATCAGTCAGATGCTTGGAAGAGTGAAGCATAGTGAGCATAATATTATTGGACTCTGGACCTTCATAATAGAATCTGACCATATGTTTTATGATGGTTAGCTCTTTCAGGAAGTGCAGTCTCTCTGCAAATTAAAAAAAAATAATAATAATTGGAATTCTTCCAAACTAATCTGCTGTTTGATTTATTATCAGATAATTCAGTTCATGTCTGTACCAGCAGAGCAATTGACTCTGTCATGGCTATATTCAGAAGTGAAAATTCAGGAACATGCAATGAAACTCTGTTGTGCAGAGTTTATTGGCCTGGACACAGAATCACATAAGCTATATTCTTTCCCAATGTGTTCTGGCACATTCCCCAGTGCTACATTCTGTTATGAGCATTTAGCAAATTACTTTAGCTGTAGCTTGGGTACTTCTGCATTGCTGTTCAATATCAATGCCACTTGACTGAATTATATGTGGACTCTTTAGAAGTCTTCATTACAAATATAAAATGTCCAAAGACTGTTGAGGTAAGATAATGGTTTGAAGGAAAATTTTCCAAAATAGAAATGGTGTCATAAAATTGAGAAAAGACCTAAAAGAAGATAACATTGAGGGCATCATGAAGACCATTATTAAGGAAGACAAGAAATTGAGATTACATTTATTTCCTTTGATATTATTTCTTACTGGGATCATTTATACCAGTAAGACTTGGAAATATATTCTGGATAAGTGAACCCAGATGGAATATGAAAACAAAGAAAGCAGATTCATTTCCCATATTAGCGAATTTCTACACTTGACCTATTTCTCATAAAGACAAGAGTAATCAAAATAAAGTTTGAAATATAGGTCACTCAAGGCAAAAACTCAAGAGTTTTAAATTGAAGGCATGTAGTACAAGAGATTATTAAAGGATATATAAAGATTCAGCAGAAAGTAAGTCACAGCAATTTCTACTTTTTGTCAGAATATGTGTATTCTATTTTACATGAATCAAGGTTTTCCTTAAAAAAACAAAAAATAATATTTTTAATCTTGTTCACAGTAAGATTTACAAAGAGAAATTTACAAAATGCATCATTTAACAGTAATAGAATTGCTTGCCCTTTCAGCAACACCTACAGACTACTAGAGGAAATAGAAGTAGATGTAACAAAGTCATAACCCAGATATGTGATTTTTATGTCTGTCCTATTACTGTGTTTAAATAGTTGTGGAATACAAGTTGTAGGTCACATTTGTAATCTATTTCATGTACTCATGAAGTTCCCATGTATTTATTTTTACATGCTGTACAACACAGGAATACAACATAACTGAACAATTTTTCATTTCTGGCTTAAAAAGCTGAATTCTTAATTTTCCCTCTTTTCCCATGGCTGCTTCAGAAAATTCTCTATTTTTTTTTTTTTTTTTTTTTTTTTTTTTTTTTTTTTTTTTTTTTTTTTTTTTTTTTTTTTTTTGCTTGCTGCACCTGGTAATCTGTACACAAAATAACAAAAAGTAGCCAGGAAGTAAAGCTTCATAAACTGACAAACAACAAATTTAATACTGGCAGCTGATCCCAACTTAATTTTGGCACATCCTTTGTGGCAAGCCCTGTTCATCTGCAACAGTCAAACAGCAATAATTTTATATATATGTGACTGTGAAAGGAAGAAAAAACCACAAAAACAATAACCAACCCCCTCCCTCAAAAGAAACATCAAGCAACAAAACCCCCAAATGCACAATAAGATCCTATTTGCATAATATAATTACTAAAAAAAATTGTGTGACTGCTGCTGATATTATTAATGTATATAAGCATTAATGTGCAAAACAATCCTTTTCTAAATTACTGTTATAGTGGGGTACAAAGAAGAAACAGAATTTCTCCTCTGACTTGTTAAAATTAATAACAGATAATTTCTCCCCCCAGTCATAATATTCTACTTGGAATGATCTTTATCTCGTTTTTTCTTCTCTTTATATTCATTGAGGGGAGATGAAATCAAAAGCACAAGTAATGAAAGAGAACCAGTTGTGTGCATGCTGCTTTTCTTGAACGAAGAAATCAGAGGTGCAAGTATGCTCATCTTATTTCCAGACCAGTTATTTAAAATGGCAGTCTTGTTCTCACATGATCAAAAATAATTTCACAAAATGTTATTTTACCAAATTTTATAAAATCAGAGACAAATTTCAGAACAACCTCTTACCTTCTGAAATGAATGTTAGCGGGATTTCAGCTGTGACCAAAGACAGCTGTCAGAAAGCTCTGAAATGGAAAAATATATTTCTGTTTCTAACATACTATTTTCTTTTAAGTTACATGTCTTTATTGTTAAATTGATCTTGGATTTGCATCCATAGGTTAAATTCAGTCCCTTCTGTATAATGCATTTAACATTTGAAATAAATTTTCAGCGTTCACATTTTGTGCACACTGATCTGAATTTGGATTCTCACACCTTACAAAATGGAACCTAATATGGCATTACCCCTTTAAAGTAGTATGCAGTAGTACATACAAATGAGTACTCTGTAGGAAAAACTGAGTTGATTTGAATACAGACATTTTCCCTAAATATTAATTTGAGCATATGCACATAAAGACACTCTGCTGTGCGAAGATAAAGTATATTCAAGTATTGTTAATATAATGGAACAAACAAAATCAAAGTCTGAGGCCCATTCAGAAAATGAAATCATCAACATTAATTAATAGAGGTCATTAGGAGATGAATTGTTTTTAAAAAATGATTTTGAGTGAAAGAATTATCCCACACTTTAAGAAAAACTTTTTGACACATGTGAGACTCTATTTTATTTTAAAATATTAACTACAGTTACCTGGAACTTTGCTCACCTTTCTAAACACTGCACCAATTAAACTGCATTAACAGCATTGAAAGATTCTAATAGAGGCACAGAATTTGATTAGTCTCTGTAAGCTTGGTATCAGAGCTTGAGCTAATATAAGATTGGGCTTATAGCTTTAAAAAATACCAATATGCAAAGATGCAAAATCCTGCATTACACACACAGTGCACATTTTCTCAACATTCATCCATGACTTGAGAAGCTGGCATCTTTAAATATGTAAATTGAGAACAAGAATATTAATAAATTTTTTATGTTTGGTTTTTTTTCCCTTTCCTTCAGTTTGCTAAAGCACTCTCCAGTGCATGCATCTTAGCAGTATGTGTATGAAGGAGACTGGGCAGGATTCAGTCCAAACATACATTTTTCATTAAATGGTGCCAACTAGACACCAAAGAGAAGCAACTTGCATTCTGATGAAGAGGGTGTTTTCCTGTTTAGGAGGAAATATAAGGATTTGGAGTGAAATATGAAACTGCTCTAAATTCTAGGCCTTCAAAGCAAAAATATTTCACCGAGAGCATGAGACATACACAAGATCCACGACTCCAACTACTGCAATTTCAGGATAAAGATACTAAATCAGCTCACTGAGGGAATGAAATATCTTTCAGTAAGTAATTTAAATAACTACTTGTGGTCTTTTCTTTGATTTTGGGTTGCTTGTGACAGTACAGGGTTTTTTTTTTCTTATTAATACTTTTCTAGTATTTTCATTTCTTATTTTAAGGCAAGCAAGTTTCACTGCTCATTTGATAATCTGATACTATTTATAAAGAATGGTCTTGAGGAATTTTAGCAATAGTCCATCCCCTTGAGCACACATATGGGCTGTATATCTTTGTATAAATGTATATATATTTATAGCATATAAAACATTGCATTTAAAACTAAAAAAGTGGACTTTCATTTGAAGAACTTGCACGTAGAAAAATACCACAAAGGACTGAAGAGTAGGGAGGAAGGATATTTTACAGAGACCATGAGTGTCACTATCAGGCTGCCCAAGATGCAGCAATTGATTGGACCATGTTTGAACTGTATAGGACATGCTGGGGGAGAGGAAGTAATAATTTGTGCTTTATTCTTCTACCCTTTAATTCATGTATTCTCTTGATAGTTTTTATTTGAAATCTTTGAAAATACAAATCCTTAGAACCTAATAATAACTTTGCACAGCATCACTGAGCAATGCTATGCCCTTGGAGAAATGTTGAAGAGGATCTCCCACTGCCATGTCAGAGGTTGTTCCTGGCAATCCTCCTTACCTCCTCTTCAGTTCCCAATGTATGTTTTAAGAGGCTCCCTCTTCACCATTTGCTGAGTTTAATTTTTCAGGCTGCCTGATTCCAAATCCAATTGCATTTCAGACTCTCTTGGGCAAGATACTGTGCTTTGCTGTGGAGTCCTGTCCCTTCTGCCACTGACTTCAAAAAGCAAAAGGCAAGTGTCAGCATCAGAGCTGCAGCTGATTCATCTGGATACTCTGGCTGTGACAAAGTGAGTGAGTTTCACTGAACTCCTTTTCTCACAGGCATTACCCAGCTTCCTAAATTCTCAAAAATTCCTCACTAAGGAAAAAATATTACACTTCATTACACCTGGAAAAAATATTACACTTCATTAGAGAAGAGTTTTATTTCTTCTTAGGATTCAAGCCTGCTCTAGAATTTAATTATAATAAATCAACCCAGATAACATTATGATACCATAATGTTTAAATTAAAAATTATTAGAAAATAGTGTTAATTTTACTGCATTAATTACATTTATCATTATAGTATATTAATATAATTTAATATTGCATTCAACTACTCCTTTTTTATATCTCCCTGTTTGGACACTCTTGTCTTAATAATTGGAGTTCTGTATGCTGAAAAATATCATCAGTTCAATACTATTTGAAGTGTTCTACAGAAATATATATAACTGTAACTCAAAGTATAGTAGAAAGGTTGCTGCATGAACTGAAAGAAAAATGTTTACAATTTTAACATATTTTAATTATTTTTTACTATTAAAATTAATTTAATATTGATTTTACCTGAAGTATCTGTTCTGAAAATTTCTCACATTTGACTGAAGGTTACACCATAGTTCCTACTCAAAAATATTCAAATTCTAATTCTGAATTTTGAAACTAAACAAAGTTCCCAGTTGTTTTCAGAAATGTCTATGAGGCATTGGTACATTTCTCATGTAGACTTTATTGAACAAAATATATACTCATTAAGCATTTGAAAGCATAGAGAAATTAAATACTACTCAAAGCACCTCAGTATGATTCCTAAAAGACTGGGTAGCTATGTAAAAACTACTGCCAGGTGTCTACACTTTAGTTGCAGGTAAATGGATAAGGAGATATTCAGAAATGAGAAAATAAAACCTCCTAAAATATCATAGATGTAATTTATATGTAATTTTGACCACTGCTGGAAACTGTTGAATTGCTGGAAAAATCCAGGAAGATTACAGAGCTGTTTCTTTTCTTTGTTTAGTGCTTTGTGGAATCAATTTGAAAACGCTGCTGATTTGTGAAGTGTCTTTGTGTATCCATTTTGCTAAAAACAAAAATAAGTTTAATGCATATTCATCAGAAAACGGCTTTTGAAAGCCATTAAATCCCAAAGAGAGGATTTTAAATTAGTCTTAAATTATGTAATCAGAGCAAACAGTTATTAAATTAAACTGTTGTTCATGGATACAAGAAGCAGCCTGCAGAATGTTTTGGAATGAACGTTCCTTAAAAAAAAAAGGCAGCAGTGACAAAGGACTGAAGGTACAAGTACTGCTAGTAAAACTTGTAATTCCAAATGCAGACACAAGGTTTCTAAATCAGAGTTCTGAGCTTGTGTCGCAAATTCCCATAACTAATGAGGAAATGGCAGAGAGAAAATATTACTGTATTTGTACCTGTCTTTATGCTGCTTGTTAAAAATTTTAGCATGTTTTGAACTATATAAAGGGGTTATTTGTTTATGAATGTGTGGAGTTTTTGTTTATAATTATTTAACCACTGGACAGTCATTAAACTTCCTAAGAGAAAGAATCTCAAGTTGAGTGTTCACCTGATTATCGGATGACCAAAATGTTATTGAAAGAGCAAATGACTCTAGAGAAGGGAGCACCTGATCTATGTGGTCCGATCTCAGGTGAATGTGCTGAACAGGAGACATTGTTTCTTCATGGGTTTCTAGTGATATCTGCATGTAGATAAGGGTATATTAGAACACAGCAACTTGAAATCTGCAAGACTCAATTGATTAAACTGGAGTGCTGAGCACACGTATTTTTATCTCTGTTGAGCAAGAAAATTGAACAAATAACACAAACCCTTTTCTGGTAGCTGTCAGGTTAGGGATTTTGTGCCACCACAGAAAAGATAAATTTGGAAATGGAATAAAATAAAAGTACTATGAATAGGGTTAAATCTCCTAAAATCTGTTACTGTGTTAAGAAAACTTGTCTTTTCTAACTTCTTAGCCTTTATTTAAAATAAGGACGTGATGTCTTAAACATTATCTCTAAATTGCTAAACTCCACTTGTCCTTTACAAGTGGAATAGATAAGAAATAGTTTCAGAAAATGTTTTGACCTCAGCTGTGTGTAACATCTTGGTAATTCCCAGATCAGTTAAGTTAGTGAAGTTGACTAGCATATTTAATTTTAAGTCTCATCTGATTTTCTTTTTTTCACTCTATTAGGTATGTGCAAGCTGCAACAAGATATGTGGACTTAAAGCATCGCTCTATTATTTGGCATAAAAAAATAATGTTAGATATAATTTAATTTCAATTCATTACAAAACATTGAGAAAGCAAGGCACAGTGTAGTAAACCATTTAAAACATTTTAATATATGTCACCAGTAGTCACTGAAGGTCATGTAAAAACATCAGTTGTGTAATAAAGAAAATTTTGTTTTAACTTTGTAATGTACTATTAGACATTGACCACTGTTACTCAATATCTTATTGTCTGCTAAGTTGGCAATATACCCCATGTGATCTATTCAGATATATTTATTGTAAGAAGATGAAAATAGAACGAGACATTTTAAGTATATGAGTAATCATGAACCTCATAATGAAACACTTATGACATTTTAATTCATTAATTTTGAGGAATAAATATATGTTTTAACAACCTTATAAATGCTCATAAATATTTTCTGAAGGATGTCTGAACATATATTTACTTGTGATTTATTGAAGATGTACTGAAAGAAAAAAAATGTTTTAGCATTGTGAATGAAATACTGTTTTCTTTTATCAAAACTCCAAAACAAAGTAGAATGTGAGTAAAGTTTTCAATTTGCTTTGCTTTGGCTTACCTTATAATGCAGATGGTTCTGTCTGTACTGGAATTCCATGTGCAACTAAAACTGAAAAAAAATATAAATATTCTAAATGTGTTTCTTATATAAATGCTATCAGTGATAGAATACAAAAATTAAGGTATTCCAAACAGATGCACTATATGAATATTTCAAAATCCAAAGTGAAAAAATCTGTCTTTTTTGCCTATCATAGAGGTAGGAAAAGGAAAAAAAAAATAAATTGGTAGGATGCATAAGTTCCAGATCAATATCTGGGATTCTTCCACAATATTTCAGAAGTTCCTCTGAACCTTTTCTCAGAAAAGCACTTTTTAAATTGATGTAAAATGGTGCAATATGCAAAGACAGAAAGTTTTTCTCAAAAACCTTGAAAGAATATCTTTTTGTTGTTCAGTCATGTTTATGTCATGGCAGCACATTTAGTGAATAGGAAAATGACCACTTATACCAACTGTGTGGGTATAAAGATGAATGCACTTATCTTTGTACAGACAAAACTTCAGTGAGTGTAGAGGGAAGGAAAAAAGAAGGAAAAAAGAAATACTTCTAATCTCCTAAAATTTGCAGCATGGATTCAAGCTGTTGCCTTGCTGACTGAAATTTTATCTGAAGTTTTTTCAGACATTGCTGAAGCTTTCATCAGGCAGTAGTGTTTGAATTCAAATTCTTTATGAAAAAATGCTCTGGATTTTTATGCATTTTAACACTGCATTCATTTTTTCAGAGACATTATAGATTCTCTTTTGTATTTATACACCTACTAAGTATTCTGTTCCTGTCTTATCTTGAAGATTTTCTTTTCCTCTAAAGAAGCACCGCATTTTTACCTTCAAATTATAATTCCACTTGCTTATTTTTTTATACCTGCTACTGTTGATCAGACAACTGTATACGTCAAATTAATGTACAGTTACTCTATGGACATCACAGATTACCCCAGCCTCTGGGTTTGCAACAGCTTTTGAAATAAGCAATACTTCAATCCCATGTACAGGAAACCTTTGAGAAGATATTGTATTCAAGCAGTTGGTGACCCTGGGCCAGACATGTCTGCTCTGCTGGGGCTAAAACTGTGCTGGCACGAGCAGTTCCTGTAAGGAAGTGCCTGGTTTCATCCTTCACTGCACACTGCTGGATGTTAAGACAGAGATAGCATTCCAGCCTGTTAAAAGAAGACAGATAGATAGATAATTTTGGGTTTTGTTCAAGATTATATGGGTATGGGTATGGGAAGCTATGGGAAGGAGGCTAAACCTCTTCATGGATGGGATCTGTGCAATGTGCCATGGGGAAATCCATTAGATATGTTCAATGCTACACAAAAGCTGGGTTCACATCATCCACAGAGGCATGATTTCCTTCCTGTCTATATTCCTCTCTTTATTCTATCTTTATGACATTTGCAGGTCTCCCCCACTGAGATTCAAAATAGCCCTGCGCAATATTCCACTCTCCTTTCCCTGTGCCCCCTTGCAGAACACCATATGCCTGACAGGAAAATGCAGTCATTACCATTTTCTGCAAACTAAAAGCCAGAATATTATACAGCACTTTCTGGTTTAAAATTATCCCAAAGGAGTATAAATAAGTTTGTTCTCTCATTGATGTCATGTTCAATTATTGTTCTCAAAGAGTAATTGAGAGACTTAAATGAAATTCTCTGTTGACTTCAAATGCTAATACTTTAAAAAAAATCCCACAAAACCTTAAAACCTTAAAAACCAAACAGACAAAACCCCCAAACCCCTTCAGTAGGGAACTGTTTCTAGTTTAGTTTGATCAACTTCATTTTTCTTTATTTTTCAGAAGGGTTTTTTTCTATTCTTTTGCTTACCTTGCTCTTCTACTTCCTTTCTTGGTAGCTGCAACAAATAAAAATGAATTTATATTTTCTAGGGCATTAATAGCAACCTAAGGGATGATTAAGAAACACAAAGGAAGTTTATTTGGTTATTTTTTTTTTAGCCATAATGATCAGAATTTGAGTTGAAATTTGAATCATAAAATCTTCAGGGATTTTTTTGAGGTTATTCAGAGTTCTTTCAACAGTGTTTAAGTAGAAACACTCAGGGTGTATAAAATTTTTTGGTTTATTTTTCTTTGTGTCTTTGAATTTCTGAAACCTATTGGGGATTGTATACAAAGCCCTAAAGTACTTTAAG